CATGGTCAATGACCACTTTACCTTAGCAGAGGTTAGCTCAATTTATCTGCCCCCCCACAACTGACATAGAGTGGGGGTTATATAAGGCTTACCCCTTCCTCAATTAAAGTAAGCTTGTTGTTTCCACTTGTTTCTGGTACCCATGTTGCTTGTTCCATGCCTACATTTCCCCTACCCCAAGAGATAATGGCCAGGACCCTACACACATCTTCATATGGAACACAAACAAGAAAACAGAATAGCTAAATGATTCTTGAATAATTAAATAACTACTGAAGTTTTTATCATCCCTATTCTACAACAGTATTACAAATCTATAGTAATATTCACAGTACAGTATAGGCACACAAAAATGCAAATCAATAAAACAAAATTGAAGACTTAAACATTGCAGGTTAAAATTCAAACTTACAGTCACTATAGAAATCAAAATGATGGTTCCCCCAGGAATGTGGGAATTGATATACCACAAAATTCAGCTATACCATCCTGGAAAACATAATCACCACCTATTACATGGTATTAAAATGTTTTATAGTGGGAAAAAATGATTTATTGTGTTTTCCCTCTTTGCCTGTAGATGTGAATAATAGCACTTATTTTTGTCAATACATTGGATATATGTGCCTTTATGTGTAAACTGTTTCATATATATGTATAATTTCTTCTAGGATAAGGGTCTGATGCATTATTGTCAATGCTACATGATATTTGTATCTTATCCTGAACTATTTCCTACCATCACTTCTAGTTAATTTGCACAGAATTATACCAATATTGCAGTGAGTTTTAGTGCAAATTATACTATCATGTTTTTTTCTTATTGATACCCCATTAGATCTCCCCAAATTCTTGACTGATTCTGCCCTGCTGAGAGTTGAAAATGGGTCAGCACTGGGAACTGAAAACTAATAATTGATGTCTCTTTGTGTGACAGAACCCAGAGAAATCATGTCCAATGAGAAATATCAAATGAGAGCTTAATAGTCCTTGAACAATCCCTCACACACTGCCTTTAGGGATAATGAAAAAGTTGCAGCCTCCCCAAACACCTTTTCCCTTTGGAAAATGGACATTCACACTGTTAATTAGCAAATGGAAAAAAGAAATGTTTCAGCAAATCCCCTGACTCCCAAAGTCAGAGAAATCATTTCAAATACAGGTCAGAGGTTTGTGGTTCTGAAGGGAGGTGAGGTCATGGAGCTGTGATCCTTTATCTTATGGTTAAGCTGATTCCTGCTTCCATGGTGCTGCTTCTTAGGTCAGGAGCTGCATCCTGAATTGATGGTGTGCAGAGGGAATGTGTCAAGTGATCACTGTGTACCTGAGTATGGAAGGCAGGGCAACCAAAGATGGGAAACCTGGTAAGCACTCATGTCTGGAAATGTATTCTAGTTAGAAACAGAAGAGTGTGAATTCTATCAAATTAAGAGAAAGGATTCTGGGGATATGAACAAAATTGCTGAGGCCAGCAACTTCACTGAATTTGTGATAATCTCTGATGTATAAAAATAATGTAACAAAATCCCTGCCAGACCACTGATGAATCATTTCAGTGATAATGAATCTGACTCAAAGGTGATGAGGGATGGCAGTGATTATGTTTTTCCCACTTCCAACTCTTCATATTATACATGAACCATATGATAACATCTCAAGGTGACAAACGTAGATGCTGGCATAAAAGATTAAAGGGTGTGATGAATATTATCAAAATAATCTCATCCTGGTGAGGAGTTGGGGGCTGGTTCTGCCTCTGGGTGTAACACATTTCAGTGCAGCATTCCGTCTATGATGGCTCAGGTGCTGGGTGTGTCCTGACACTCAGTGCTGATGACCTTTGTTTGATTGATGCTGCTTTGTTTTTTGAACTTGGGAACATGGTACTGAATGGAAGTTGACACTATAATTGTGTATCTTGAATGACACTCATTTCCAGATCCATAGAATACATCTTCTGCTATTTCTTCTGGTTTGGTGATATTCAAATGGTCATTCTGACAGGAATAAGATGGTATCTCAGAGTTGTTTTGATTTGCATTTCCCTGATGGCTAAGGATGTTGAACACTTTCTTATGTGTCTTTCAGCCATTTTAGATTCCTTTATTGAGAATTGTCTATCTAGTTCTGTACCCCACTTTTTAACTGGATTGTTTGGTGTTTTGGAGACTAGCTTCCTGAGTTCTTTGTATATTTTGGAGATCAGCCCTCTGTCAGATGTGGGGTTTTTGAATATATTTTCCCAGTCTGTGGGCTGCCGTTTCGTCTTGCTGACTACACAGGCAGTTTCTATAGGAACAAATTTCATTTTTACATGATGTAATTTAGGTTAGAATAGAAATAAAATTTTTATTAGTAAGTTCAAAAATGTGGTACTTGATTAAAAATTTAAGTGACTGTGAGTGGAAATCACCCAGCCATGTTTGCATTTTACAAGTGTCCAAACTCCTCAGGATGACCTTTTTTCCCCACAATCATCTGCAAGGTTTTAACTTCGGATTTGTATTGACTGTATAGGAAACAATGATGTCCAAATCAATGCTCTATGGAAATCACAGTAGGTGGTAGGGAAAAAGTATTGTAACAATGATTCATACATTCTCACCTCTGTTTATCGTTTTCAGTCTAGCTTCAGGGAGATTCAAGGCAATAAAATTTTCAGTAAGTACTGCTCTATGAGAAAAATTGATTTCAGTTGATTTAATAAATTTGATTATAATGCATACACCTTCTTGGCTTTGAAGACAAATTGAAATCACCGGAAACTGGCAGGGTATCTGCAGTAATTCTAAAATAGGGATCCTCACACCTGTCTAGATGACATTTGTTTCCTGTGTGTTCTCTCTCTTTCTGTCCTATTTCTTCTGTACACTGAAACACCACTCAGATTCTTATACATGATTCTTAAATTCGGTGTACACCACTCCTAATAATTTTCTTTAAGTATTTGGCAGTTCCTTTGGAGAAATATCTGTGACTTTGAATTACTTTATGTCCTGACAGACCTGCCATCTTAAAACACCGTCCTCAGACAGTATGTCCAGAGCCTCAGCAAACCAATTCCTCCAGGCAAGTGGAATTTAAGATGTTGTCCAGTGTACTGTTTTTAAAACTCCTTTCTTCAAGGCTTGGTTTATTCTAAAAAAAATGACATTCTTTGTGTGGTTTTCTTATCTAAAATAAAAACTAAAATATCATAAACCACAATAAGATTTAGGATAGTGTTCCAATGTGTGTCATGATGAACTTTCAATATTCAGCAAATGAATATTCATGAGTGGCTTGGCTCGGATCATGACCTGGACCTATAGCTCTATGAAGTTCCTACTGTAGAGGATATATTACATATCAATAATATGTAAGAAACCCTTACAACAAAGTCACTTTCTGTTTTTGTGAAAGGTGTTCAGACTTTTTTTTCTATAAAAGAAAGTAAGTAGAACACACAATGTTCACTGGAATTAACAAATAAAAGTCCACTTAGTATATAACACATATATGAAGAAAAAGATGCTTGGATGAATATGGAAATCCCAGGAATCCACTGGTCAAGGAATGAGGTACCAGAAGTTTCATGTCAGCCTAGATTATAGAGTGAACCCCAGTCTGAACTCCTATGTTCTATGAAATAGAATTAACACAGTGAAAACTATATTTGTTACAATTTTAGTTAATAAGTCCACTGTACACCCTTTAGGGGTCTTGGTAGGATAGGACTTTGGGAACATAGGTTCATATTTGTATTATCCTGTGAGAGAATGGATCACTGCTAACTTGTATTGGGATAGGCCTCAAGAGACAAATGATATATGAACTCTCATATATCTTATGCATTTGGTCTTTGTTAATGCATTCCCTACTTATTTCTGCTGCTACAGAGGACAGCACTGTGAAGATAAGCAGAAGCAGTACATTCCTTTTGTTTGTTGTTTGATTAGGGTTAGGGTATCACTATGTAATTCTGAATGTCCTAGAATTTACTAAGTAGACTAGCCTGGCCTTGAACCCACAATGCCCTGTCTATTTCTCCCTCCTAGGTGCAAGAAGGAAGTGCACATGACACCATTTCTAATTGAGGGAGTCAGTTCTTAAAGCATGAATTGGGAGGTCCTCAATTAGAAGCTATTTATTGCACACATATTTAAATTTTTTCTTACAAACATTTCCACAGGAGTGAAATTGTGAACAAATAGATGCACAGCTACTCCAGTTAAACATTTAATTCAATTGGAATACTTTTGACTTGGTGTCACATACCTACCTTATCCTTATTCTTACTAAGGGCTGGTGTGTCATACTAGATTTACTTTATATTTCCCCTACTGCATTATGACATATGGCAGTGGATCTATTTAGAATATTCAACATCCTTACCCTGTTTATTCCACACTGAATGTGGTTGCTGTACATTTCACATGAATGCATCTGTTTATTATCTGCTCCACAATAGCACAATAATAATGTGTGTGTATGAAATATAATGTGTTTATCTCTGAATTTAACTTTATCTAGCTCATCATGTGAACTTCATTATATTAGAGTCTTTTATGTTATTTTACATGTATTTTCTCATATTAGGACATAAACATATTCACTTTGCTGTGGTAAAATGTACATTGTTTAAGCTTAAATTTTGGGTGAAGACAGCATGAAGGCCTTTCACTCTGAAGCTACAGAACGAAGTCTGTTTTCCAGCAATTTATTGTGTAAGAACAATTCATTCTGGAATGTTCATCTTTCATCTTGAACTCAACTGGTTATTGCTTCTTCAGTAAAATCAATGCTATTTTTGTGCTGAAGAGTTTGAGAAGTATAGAGATGTACTAGGAATGCACACCTTAAATGTGGACAATTACAGACAAACAATTTCATTGAAAGTTATTACTGCTGGCAAAATATTTGTTTTGAGACAGTCTTGTAAATGTATTCACTCTGGTTCTGCAATCTTGGACTCAAATGAATGTCCTTCACATGCATAAAAGGACAGAAATTTTCAATGCATGATTTGGCTCAGAAACATAGTTGTTGTAATAATTTTAAAGAAAAAGTGCTGACTGACAGAATGGAGTCCAGAAACTTAGCTATAGGAATATTGATCTCACTTCAGAGTGCACTTGGAATTCTGGGAAATGTATCTTTTCTTTTCCAGTATCTACTTGTTTACTACAATGAACACACATTAAAGACTGTAGACTTAATTCTTATACATGTTTTCACATCAAATTCCTTAATCATTCTCTCTACAGGAGTGCCTCAGATAATGAGAATGTTTGAGTGGAAAAGGTTCTTCAATGATGTTGAATGCAAACTTATTTTATATATTCAGAGACTTTGCAGGAGCCTGTCCATCACCTCCACCTGCCTCTTGAGTGTTTTCCAGGCCATCACCATCAGTCCTAATGTCTCCTATTGTAAAGAACTGAAAATCCAATTACCAAAATATGTTCACCTCTCCATTTCCTTCCTCTGGATCCTGTACATGATAGTGAATATGGTTTTCCCCATGTATACGGCTACCAAAAGTAATAGCAAAAACAAGACAAAAATGAGAAATTTTGAATTTTGTCCTGCTCTCAATCAAGACAAGATAGTAGAGTCACTGTATACAGTATTTTGGGTGTTCCCTGAAGTCTTATTTTCCATACTCATTGTTTGTTCCAGCATCTCCATGATTGTCATACTCTATGAACACAAGAAGAGGGTTCAGTGCATCCTCAGCACTCATGCATCCACCAGAATTTCCCCTGAATCCAGAGCCACACAGAACATCCTGGTGTTGGTTTGCACCTTTTTAGCTTTTTACACCATCTCCTCCATTTTGCAAGGCTACATGGCTCTTTCTTTTAATCTCAATTCATGGCTTGTGAATATCACAGGCATCATTTCTATGTGTTTTCCTACTTTAAGCCCCTTTGTGATGAGTCATGAATCTATTATTTCTGGATTTTGCTTTTCCTGTATAAGGAATAGGAAAGGGAAATAATTTCATAATAATTGAATAGATTGCACCATTGTAATATTGTGTATATAAAACTTATACACTCATGTCCTTAAATATATCAGTGTAATAATTTATCATTTCATCATCTTACTTATCATTGTATTTGTCAAATATCAATCTAAAATGGTATGCATTATTTTAAGTGTAAGATCATTTCACAGAATAAGAGTGGTATATTCTTCATTGTAGCATAAAGCCAGGGTATCCACAGGTTCTTATCCACATTAACTACTGTAGTTCTGGACACTTCATTAAGTGATATATACTATCATAATATTGTAGGTTCCTTATGTCATGTTTCTTCCACTGTTTCATAGGTGAGCCTATCTTGCCAGGCCATTCTTTCCTTTGTAGCTCACGTTATTAATTGCTGGGTAATATTGATTACTGCTTTCCTCCAGTAGAGAGCATAGCTCCTTGTAGCAGTAGGAAAGTTCACACAATTGAGATGAAACTTCCATGTCAGTATCTGCTGGTTTCCATATTTTATGTCTTGAGTACTATGCAGTCATAAATTTGAACTCATAGTCATTTTGTGACAGCATACACAGACACTTTCAAGTCTGAAAATACACCAGACTTATGGGCAGGGGGGAAGTACACATTAAGTCCAATCACTCCATGAAGTACAATTGGCATTTGACAACTGCTAGGGAAAGGGGCGTGTCAGTTTCCTTAAACAGTGTTGTTGCCTTGCAGGTTTTGCACATTCAGGGATACATCCTACACTCAACAATACTAGTTGAACTAAAAATGTATGTGACAGTTTTACAAATAAAATATCTTGAAATTTTGTTAGTAGGTGGGTAGGGATGAACCTCATAGAATTTTGGTGGAGAGATGTTGAATGTGATCAAAATACTTTGCATGAACTTCTCAATGTTTCAAAAAGAATATTAAATTTGTGATATTGGCCACTTGTCTTTTCAAGGTACTCCCTAGGGGTTTGGGCACTTACAGCAGCAAAGTAGAGGTGAATGCAACATGGTGTTCTACCCTGTGTAAGCATATCTTATGTGCAGAAATCTTCAGTAGTGTTCATTCAGGGTAACACATCAGATTCTTTTTTATCCTTTTTCAACCTAATTCTTAGATTTTGTCTCTGAGTATTTCACATTATGGACCCTAACCCCACTTGTTTCCAATTCTTTCCAAGCCTGCCATCAAACCTTGTAGCCTCCTCCCCCAAAATAAAATTAAATAATATGAATAAACAAAACCCCTGTCTATCTTGATTTTCTATCACATATCCATTTCTTTTATCACCTTTGGGAGCAGGATGTGTCATGCAATATGCCCTATTACTCATACAGCTTTACTTGAAAATGATCATTGTAATGTTGTATCAGGCTGTTTAAAGGCCTATATCTTTTAATGTACCATCAATATTGAATCCTCACCAAAACTTCTCTAGGATATCCTGCTGTGATCCCTAGTCATAGAGATCCTTTGGCTATATTCTGCAGGATTTGTCTCTTCACTTATTGCAGTAGGTCATAGATGCAGTAGGTGTTGTGTTGGGCCAACTCAAAGCATTGGATGTGGGCCTGGGGGTTAGCTGAGATAGTCATTTCAGTTCTGCATTGGGACCACCCTGTGAGATTAGGGAGGAGGCCCACTATCCCATGTCCACACCATTGGGACAAGACCTGTTATACACATGAGAAAGGATGGATATGTAACTAATATGTGGGGCCATATTTCTTATTATGGCAACTGGAAAGAAAAAATTTATTCCAGCGACATGGAGGATAGGTGCCTCTTCTCAGCATGGAGGCAGTTCTCCCTTGAACTTGCCTGGGAGGGGTGGGACCACATTCCTGTGGATCAGGCCAATGGGGTCAGCTCTGTCAATGCCTGATGGTAACATGGGCTGTTGAAAACAACACAAATTCCAGTTTCAGTAGAATCATGGACTCAGACATGGCCTTCTGCTGCAGGCCAGCCCCAGATATTACCATGGCCTAAGTGGCAGCACAGGCTCCTCAGATCTGTGTGGCTCTGGTGTCATTGTGGCTGTTGGACACCATCAGGGTCTCAGGTGGAGGTTCAGACTTCAGACATTTGTTAATCTTGTGGTGGTAACACAGCCACACATCATCACAAACCTGGATGTAGTAGGGCAATGGATCCAGACAATACCTGTAGGGGAAGCTGTAGCCACGCCTACTTAGGGGCTGGCTACAGGTGTGCCTGACCACGCTTGTGAGGGTGTGGTCAGAGTGACCTAGTGTGACTGCGTTTTGCGCTTTCGGTTTCTCTTTGCTTCTTGCTGTACAGACTGCTGCTGTGCCGGCTGGCTAGGTCACTCTGTAAGTAAGGCTTTTCCCTATTAAATACCCTTATATTTCTACCTGGCTCCATATTGGTAATTTCCCACTATAAATACCCTTGGCTGCAGTTTGATTCTGATGTCACCAAGGCCCTGTTGTCAGCTTGGCACTTGTACACCAATATGGCCTCACGTGGGAGCCCAGAACAAGGGCCTCTAAATGGCCCTATACTGTTATGATAAATCTTTCCGCCAAAGCAGCCCGAGCGCTACTGCCACGTGGGTGGTCTCTGTTGCCCGCCGTGTGGATGGACAAAATAATACAGAGACATAATAGGTACAAATGCTGCTTGGCCAATGACTAGGATTCTCATCTGTTAGCTCAGTCTTAATTATCATAAATCTATATATTTTATAAGACTTATCTTATAGAGGATGCCTTCTGCTGGCGCCCTCTCTTGTCGATGGCTCACATTGCGCTGCTGGAGGAGGTGCCAAGGGGAAAAAGAACACTTCCTGTTTCTCCTTGCTTAAATATGAGTCTCCTTGCTATGTCACTTCCTGCCTGAATCACCACTTCTTTACTACATTTCCCAGAATCCTCTTTGACTTGCTGCCTCATTGGCCAAACAGGTACTTTATTCAATAATCAATAAGATGAACATGCACTGTATATTTCCCATCACTATACCTAACATGATATCAACCTAGATTCCAGATGTGTTAGAGTCATGGACCCACATTTGGCTCTAGTTGGCAGAACAGGCTATAACATCCAATAGTCCAAGGTAGCAGCTAGGGCACTCATATCAGCCAGTTTCTCATCCCTTTTTTCAGTCCTGTTTCTCTCGCCAGCACATGGACTTCTCTGCTTCTCATTCTCTCCCATTTCTCCACACATACCTGTTGATGTTAGAGGCACAACACTTCCCAGGTCTCAAGGCTCTGGACTGACCTCTGGCTTGCATCTACCTGTCCCAGATATTAGATCCTTTTTTAAAATTAATTTTATTTAAATCAAAAACAACCTTATTTTAGATAGCAATCGCAATTCCTTCTCCCTCCTGAACTCCAATTTCCCACACGAACCCTCATCCTAACCCACCCACTCTTCAAGGAGTGGGAGGCCTCCCATGGGGATCATCAAAGTCTGTCACATCTTTGGGGCAGGATCTAGGCCCCCCTCTGTTTATCCAGTTTGAGAGAGTATCCCTCCCTGGGGAATGGGCTGCCAATATTCATTCATTAACTAGGGATAAATACTGTTCCACTGCCAGAGACCCCATAGACTGCCCAGGCCCTCCAACTGACACACACATTCATGGGCCCTGATTTTTTCATATTCTGATTCCCCAGGTGTCAGACTGGTATCTAAGAACTCCCACTTGCTCATGTCTGCTGTTTCTGTGGGTTTCTTCAGCAGTGTCTTGACCCCTTTGCTCATCACTCCTCACTCTCTACAACTGGATTCTAGGAGTTCATCTCAGTGCTTTTCACTTTGTGTATGAGTCTATTTCCATCAGCTACTGGATGATTGCATTAAAGGTAGTCACCAATCTTACTATAGGGGAAGATCATCTAAGGTAGCTTCTGCACTATAGCTTAGATTCTTAGTTGAGGTCATCTTTGTGGATCCCTGTAGATTTCCCTATTGCCACAATTATCACTAAGCCCATAATGACTCTCTCTTTTAAGATATCTCTTTACTTGTTCTACTACTCTGTTCTTCCCCCAACTGGACCTTACTGATCCCTCATGTTCTCCTGCCCTTTCCCATTCTCACCTGCTCCTTCTCCTACCTCCCCTGCCATGCTCCAAGTTTACTTAAAATTCTTATCCATTTTGCCTTCTCTGGGGGCCCATATAGTTACTCTTAGTTACTTGTTTCCTAGCATCTCTCCCATTTTTGGTCTTGAGCTGGTTATACTTGTTCTATGTCTACTCTTCACTTATTACAGTGTACATACCATGTTTGACTTTCTATGTCTGGGTTACCTCACTCAGGTTGGTTCAATCTAGTTCCATGTATTTGCCTGTGAATTTCAATATTTCATTTTCTTTTCTACTAAGTAGTACTCCATTTTGGAAATGTACCACATTTTCTTTATCCATTTTTTGGCTGAGGGGTCTCAAGGTTACTTCCAAGTTCTGGATATTACAAATAATGCTGCCATCAATGCTGACAAGTAGAAAATTTCAGATAGATCCCAATCTATTGTCATGCACAAAACTTAAGTCCAAATGTAGAAAAGAACTCAACATAAATTCAGCCACACTGAACCTCTTAGAAGAGAAAGTGGGAAGTACCCTTGAATGATTTGACACAGGAGACTGCTTCCTGAACATATTACCAGTAGCACAGACACTGAGTTCAACAATTAATAAATAGGACCTCCTGAAACTGAGAAGCTTTTGTAAGGTTAAAGACAACATCAACAAGACAAAACAGCAGCCCCCTTAATGGGAAATGATCTTCACCAACCGCACATCTGACAGACATATGCAAAGAACTCAAGAAGGTAGTCACCACAGCGTCAAATAATCCAATTAAGATTGGGTGGATCACATCTTATGATGAAAATGAAATAGAGAGCATCCAGGGCATGTATAAGCATTTCATGTCAAATCCCTGTCCAGAAAATCACTTTCTCCAGCAAGCCTCAACCTTCCAATCCTTCCTTAAATACTGGGCACCATGTACTCAAATACC